ATGCACACACGCACACATGCATACACACCACCACCTTCAACAACAAATATAATAACAAAAAAAAACAAAAAAAACACATTCAAGGGTTATGAAACTCTGTATAAGGTAATTCTACCATCAATTTTTTTATCATATTTTACCTTTTACGAGTCAACAGTGACGCCCGCAAGTCGAATGGTGTTTTTCTTTCTTCCTTAAGTATGAATGTCAATAGTTATGTCTTCTTGGCGTCTCTGCCTAGGGATTTCATACAGAACAGTGTTACTGTGAACTTCAGATTTCTTAGTGATCAGCAGGTAGAAGAATGACTGACTCAAGCCAACTCCAAGTCCTTTTATACAGCTAACTGTTATTGTTTCCCTCCTTTTACTCATAAAAAATTTAAGTGTGTATATTTCTTTAATTTGTAATGAATCTGTCACTGGGGAAAAACCAACCACGTGGGTAATATTTGTAAACATACCCTGGTCTTGACGCGTCAGAGACCCGGATGCGGAATTTGAAACTTCTTAAGACGGGGAAATTTACCTGTGTATCCGAAGACATTCAAATTTTGGGGAGGATAAAAGGCATAAACTATTTTGAATAATCGTATCCATATTTTGTGATACGAGGCAGGAATTGAATTATTTATTACATTCTTTACTTGCACATGATATGAGACTTATGGACACTTTAAGATACCGGTAGGCCTATAGAGACCCAATAGTCGTAAGTGACACTGTAGATGCATCATGAAGACCATATTATATTCGGCAGTAAGTTATAAAGGAGCATATCGTGATTGACGTTACTTGTATGCTGTTGAGGCTCGGGTATTTTTAATGAAACATCATGGGTCTAATTTCTCCTGTGGTTTTCCCTTGCAAAATACTCTAAGAGGAGAAGTTTGTGTGTAGGCCTACCGGTATATGTGTGCTCCTGCTTTTCTGTAAAAGCCAATTCAACATAACATGTGTGCCTTCATTAAAATGATACAGGCACCGATGAGAGCTAATTGAGAAAAGTCAAATAGTTTTAATGGGCGCGTCCATGGACACTGGAAGCGCCCTTTTCCACATGTAGTCTTAATGGAGGCACGCCTAACGAGAAAGACGAGCGGATTCTATCCCCCCTCCCCCCCCCCCTCTACACCCCCCCTCCACCATACCTCGACTTATTAGTAGAGAGGGAGTTTTACTGACGCCTGACACTTTGAGCTGCATGTAATTAATTGTTATACCAATGGAATGTCTTAACACGTTATCGTTGGATTGTCTCTTGTAAGAAATTAAATTATGACTCAGGAAAATTTAAAACGGTATATAGAAATAGGCTACCGCTTTCACAAAGATCAGGCCTGACATATGTAAATATACATAACTGATAATTCTGTCCAGGCGCCTGATAATTAGGGTGGTTTTTGTTTGTGTAATTTATGTCCCCTTTGTGTTGGTGAATAGAGGGAGGGGCGACACAGCAAGACTCTGCTTATTACCATATTACAGAAATAGGGGGAATTTTGTTCAATTTGGAAAATTTTGACATTTTTATGTGGAAATTATGTTGGTTATCTGAATTGACCACACAAACACTGGCAGTGTTGAAAACAGACACTGGGGCGTACACTCCCCCCCTCCCCCCCCTCCCCCCCCCCCCCCCCCCCACCCCCCCCCCACCCCCCCCCCCC